CGCGTCAGGCCAGTGCTCGAGTGGAACCCGAAAGGGAAGCGGCGAGTGGTTCGTCGGTGCAAGGGTGACATGGAGGAGATTGTGTGAAGAGGAGCTGGACTAACATGGATGCAGGTGAAAAGTACAGCAGAAGACAGAAGCAAGTGGAGACGTGCAGTTGAAGCCCTTTGTTCCACTAGGAACCCAAGGGAACAATAATAATAATAATAAGTTCCACAGAAGACCAGGATGGCTTTAGTGGATGGATCTGTTTCATTTTGCACCCACAGAGCTGCAGTTGTGTTTTAGGCGAATTCCTATGAACGAAGCTGTTTGGAGTATTTGGTATCTAGAGTCCCTTGGTAATTTATTTAGTACCGAAAAGACAATAAGAAAAGACTCTTCAATGCTAACTTTGTGACCTGTTTAGATGAAGTGGTCTTACATCAGAATGTTGATGGTTTTTAATACACACTTATTTAGCCTTATTTACAGGCTTTCCCGAGCACGAAAAACAAAGTTCGTAGGGCAACAGCCATTATTACTGGTTCCACAGGAGCCGTTGAATTGATCAGTTGTTGATATGTATTTTTATTGGATAGCCTGACAAGAAGTTATTTCACTAATGGTAGCAACCCGTCAGCTGGACCAACCTGCGATGCCCAGTGAGTGGTGATGGTTCTACTGAGACTAGAACTCAAGCACTCATCATTTGAAAAAACACCAAAACAAAATCCACTTCAATTGATAAAACCTTTATTAGTTTCACGAAATTAAATTGTATATTTTGACGTTTTTTCTCAACGTATATGCCAAATTCTGCAGGCTATAAGTTAGCAGGATAAGATACTTGAAATAACTGAAATATTTGAAATTCTGCTAACATTTTTCTTCAGTAATTTTGTTTTTGCGGATTTGTCAGTAAAAAGAAAATGTAATTGTTCAAAGCCTTGAACATTGAATCTACGATTTATTCACTATATAAAGATTTCATTTTACAGTCTGATTTTGAGGTTATGCTTTAGAAAATCAGTCGACAAAGTAATTAAATTTTAAATGACATTCATTTCAACATCTCTGAGATTAATGTTTTCTAATTGATCATTATTTTTTCAAAAACCTAAGTGACAAGATCTAGAAGGTGAAAGTGTCCAACGCTGTGTGTGTGTGTTTATCAGTTCACCTGCTTCTGCTGAACTAGACATATCGATCGTTAAATACATATCTTATCTAAAAAGGGTACAACAGCATGACACAACATTGTTGCGAATTGGTGGAAGTGGAGCTGTAAGACGCTCATCAAATGTACATCTGGTTGACACCAGTCATTTTGTCTCAACAGCCTCTTCCTCTGAAGTTATCTAATAGGGCAAAAAAGTAAAAAGAAGGATTGGATATTCTCTGAGGAGACTATTAATTGACGTCACGCGACAGGCTGTCAAGTGGAACCCCGACTAGGAAGCGACGAGTTGTGTGCCTTGGAGTGATATAGAGTAGAATAAGCGAAGAGGTGGTGATAGCTTGTGGGTAAACTAATAAAAAGACTGAGGAGAACGAAGGGAAATAGAGATGTGTTGTTGAAGTCCTATGTTCCTGTTGACACCCAAGGGAATAATAATAATAAATGCTTTTATATTTACCAATCGGGCAAATATATTTATCTATCGTAAGCCTAAACATTGGATAGTGTAGAGTTCTGTGTGACAAAACACGGTCAAAGTCACATAAAATTAAGAAATACGATATTAGAGTCAAGATGGAAGGTGCGAACTCATCTGTTCTCCAAATCACATTTTAAACTATTGTAGGCCCTAATCACAAGCTACTTTGGTCAAAATGACGCCAGCCCAGTAATTCCTCATTTCCTTACATGGTTCAACCCACTATTCAGTCACTTTGTCGGTTGATGGTGCTATGTCAAGGTTTCGTCACATTCTGCTTTCATCTAACTTATCCTTACTTCAGCTAAAACAGTGTATTCAGATGGGCAGTGTGAGTGAATATCTGCAGCAAATCCTTCAACCGCTTTAGATGATGGGAGGTTTAAACTTTTCCGGATTACTCATCTAATTTACTTCTATACTGCTAACATACTGGCTGTGATATGATGGAAACAGTCTCACTAATTGCATTCCATGTTTTAAAAATATTTTCTTATTTTGACACCTTCACGATGTAACCATATTTCTGAACAAACTTTTTCTTATGCCACAGAAAGTTAATACTTAAATAAGATGAATTCACATTATTTCAACAATACACATAAATAGATTCCAACGTCGTTAACTTCAAGTATCTTCAAAGAAAGCTGTTGATATTCTCTCCTGTATTTCTTCTCTTTCCATTTTGCATACAGGTTATCGTCTACTGAATATTCCTTGTGGTGTTTGTGGAGATCGTTCTACGGGGAAACATTACGGAGTATATAGCTGTGATGGTAAGTAATGGCAAAAAAAATTTCAGCTGCGTGAGTCAAACCAGAATATTATGGCGTTCATGATTTTGAGTCTTACTTTCTGGTAAAAAAAGAACAGTTTATTTAAGTAGACAAAGGCCAGTTAGTTTTGATTTTGGTTCGTATCACTAACTGGACTTGGTCAGAGAGAAGCGTTAACACTCATATAACATTGGGAAATCAAATTCTCTCATTTTTATGGCTTTTTGTATTTTCGTTATGCTTTGAAGTTTCTGTAGAGATTGAACTGATTTTCTAGGATAGGACCGTTAGCACCACGCCCAGGCTTCCTTATTCTACCTTGCCTATGACTGGCTACAAAACTGGTGAACTAGTATACTAGGCGACGTTACCCACAACCAGGAGATTAAGAGTCTCGTGCTCTGTTGAATGAAATGGCCAGGTTGGTGGTTTGATGGTCACTGGTTTGATCCTACCTACTGCTAATCATATATGCCGAAGAAAATAGAAGTGAATTTGTTTAGTTACAGGATTTCATCATGAGCTGACATTAGTTAGAGAACCATTGGAAAACCTGGGAGTACTAGACAGCTGTCTAACCAGCCTAGTTTGGGACTCTTCAGCAGTACGCACCCACCACCAGAGTTCGAACACAGGACCTTCTGGTTACAGAGCGAGCTCATATACCATTAAGCTACTGGGACCCGATCCAGTGGCCAGTCCATGAATTCTAACTTCTGCCAATTCACGATATAGCGCAGCCGCTAACCAATGTCTTCGGCGAGTATTTGTCCTCACACCCGACCTACAGCACCCTACTGGTCACGACTTCCCACTGGAACCCCAGATAACTACCTACCTGAATAGGGCCAGTCACCAGTGAACATCTCATTGATATTCAAGTATTGGTTTGTAGGGATTTGGTTGATTGGTTACAGGATTTCATCATTAGCTGACATTGGTTAGAGAACCACTGGAAAACCTGGGAGTACTGGACAGCCGTTTCATCCTAGCCTGGGACTCTTCAGCAGTACGCACCCACCGGGGTTCTAACAAAGGCTGAGGAGATCGTTGGGTAACATGGCTTGCCGAGTTAGCCACCGAATGGAGCCTGATTCGAGAATGACAAGTTGGACGTCTGAGGGTAACATTGTGGAGACCATGTGACGATCAGCTAAGGAGGATTGCAGAGAACAGGACAAAATAAGGATATGCTGTTGAGGCCGTTTGTCGCACTATAAATCAGAGGGATCAATAATAGTATAACTTTTAACTCACGACGACAATTCACAGCACAAAGTTAGACTCGTTGCATAGTTATCAGTTTTCAAAGAGTGCATTTACCGACTTGGCTAATAAAAAATCACTTTACTTTGAATGTGAAGGTCCGAGGTGGTGTAGTCGTCAACTGCAATGTGATGAATTAATTATTCCACTACATTTTTCAATGGTTTCGCCAGTTAACTTTAATTTTTGATGAAATCAATCTTGCACCCAGTTACTTTGCAACATTGATTTAATGTTAGGAATGCTGGCAAACCATGCAAATGGTCTGGGTTTTATTTCCGGCTGATGGACTCCGACACTTGAAAAATATCACTGGTCACAGTATGCAGCCTCGTCTAACTCCTGTATTCACTTCAAAGGCTTTGCTGACTTTTCTGTTGGGAATTACTTGGTTGGGACTCTCGCCGGCCATGCACATGGTCCGGGTTCGATCCCCTACCGACGCACACCTGATATCAATGGCTACCGATATCACATGCTGAAATTTCCATACTTGCAACAAAAATACGGTGTGGAATCAAGCTGTAATAAAAAAATGGCATTGTTTCATGGCTGTTGGATGAAAGTGATAAAGGTTTGGGCACCTCATAGTGTTGAAGTAATTTCCAAATTAATTCATGGCCGACGCTGTCATGGACCTTGAGAAAGTCAGTGGAGTTCAGATAGAGAGTTGACTGACATTCCAGGCTACTTTTAATGATAATGTGCGGTGTTGTGGCCTGTTAATCACATGATTTGCTCTTCCTGAAGCCAGCTGAATCCGGGATTTTGCGTCCAGAGCATCCTTCAGCATCTCCAGATGACGCGAACAAATATTTCGCTCCGGGTGGACAAGGGCATGACTCCACATCAGTTTAGGAATCAGCTTGGGTCTCCCCTCTTTGGTATTCTGACAAGGTAGTCTCTCTTCCAATCAGTAGGCACCTTTACTTCCTTCCAAATGTTCTGCAATATTGCCGTGGGCACATCCGCGGCAACCTCCAGATCTGTTTTCGGTGCTTCGGAAGGGACTTCGTTTGGTTCCGCTACTCTCGTAACTGGCTATAAGTAGCTTGATCACATTCAAGACTTCTGCCTTTGTTAGAGGATTGGTGTTCACCGGCAGTTCTGTAGGTGTTGATGTTATTTCTGTATGAGTAGCAAGTGGTGGTCGGTTCAGGAGCCTTTTGGACTGATTACCCCACTGTTTCCTATGCTTCTTCTATATAGAAATTAAGTTCCCTTCACCATCTTTCATCTGTATTGATCTCTTCCACGGAAGGCGACCTGATTATTTGATATAATGATTTGAGGTCTCTACTACCTGCGGCCTGTTATGCTTCAGTTGCCATTGTGTCGTAGAATTGCCTTTTGTCTTTCCTAGTACTATTCTTCATTTCTTCATTCAGTGTGTTGCAGACTGAACTCACCTTTTCCTTTCACTATACATCTTGGCATTGGTTCATCTTCTGTTTCACCATCCCTCTCTCCTCTGTAAGCTTCCAGGAGTGATTTATCCGGACAGATACAGCTGGGATGGAGACAAAGAGGGGGATTTCTCCAACACAGTTGTTGTCAAACTTCACTACTATGTCAAAACCTTATTGCATAATATGAAATCCAAGTGTTTGTAAAGTAGATAGACTGCGGAGGAAATTTCTCCTCAGTTTCTATTGCAAAGGGACCAGAATTTATTGAAGGCACACTGTATAATCTACTCGATATGGTAAATGACTCTGCAGCCACTGTAATGAATGTCTTGCAAGTATGTGCAGGTGAGTGATATGATCAAGCGGAGTCATTCGCATCAATCAACAGGAGTTGGTTTCCAAAGCATAACACGATGAAATCTCACATCGAGCCGCATGTTTTACAAATACCTAATTTCATTCCATATACAGTCAATGTTAATAAATTATTTGTCTTTACTATTATTATTATTCTTTTCTTTATTTCTTATAGGATGTTCTGGCTTCTTTAAAAGAAGTATACACAAGAATCGAACATACACATGTAAAGCAAGTGGAAATTTAAAAGGTCAATGTACAATTGACCGTAATCGTCGTAATCATTGTCGGGCATGTCGACTGAATAAATGTTTTATGGCACAAATGAATGAAGAAAGTAGGTGCCTACTTATTATTATTACTTTTCGTTCCGAGTGGGGCTTCAACAACACATCTCGATTTTGTTCTGTTTTCTGCTGTCCTCTTCAGCTGGGTCCATGATTGACCAAACTCTCTCATCTCTTCCTCACATGATCTCCTCCATGTTACCCTCGGACACAGACCCACTCGTCGCTTGCGCGCGATGTCATTCGGTGGCCTCCTCATTGTGTGCCCGATCCATCTCCACTTTCTCCTACATATTTGTTGAGCTATCGGCTCTTGGTTGGTTTGTTCCCAGATAGAGTTTCTTGTTGCTTATTCTTTCTGGCCATTTGATCTTCAGTATGGAGCCAGCGAAGACAGCTGTTGATAAAAGTCTGCAATTGGCTGTTGGAAATCCTTTTCGTGACACGCAGTGCAAGATTCTCACCCATATAGAAGAACTGACTGTTTTCACATTGGTGTTGAAAAGTGCCTACATATACCTTTTTCAATATATATATATATATATATAGACTAATTACAAGATGTGACAATTTAACTTGTCGTAGTGATGATTTGTGCTATATGTAATAGCAAAACCGTAGTATTTCTATCCGAACTCAGGAAGCCAACCGATGTGTCCTTCTATACAGGTTGAGGAACTTCAGCGAGTCACTCACAGTAAAAAAGTACCCTCTAACAATAGAAAAACACGACTGAGATTGATAGAATCTGTGTTACTATTGAAACAGTTATATCAAATATACAAAACTACCTAGACAACGCCGTTTGGATGAGATACACAGTCCTAAAGGTTCTCAGGTACAAAACAAGTACTGAGAATCAATAAGAATACCCGCAGCAAGGTGGGATCAAAATTCTGTCTGCAAGAATCAAACAGAACAAAACACCTTCCCAACTGATAGTCCGAGGTTAGACAGTCACTACATGGCGTAGTCTTGAATTCATTCAAACGAAATCGTGTTGGTAAAATAACAAATTATTATCAACAGACCACCATCACACAACAATAAAGTGAAGTATTGTAAATAGGAATCAACCAGAAGCAAAGAAAAATAGTGATAAGGATTGAGTCAAAATGAGATATAGAAATGTTCGAAAGATGATAAGCAGGTCAGGGAAAAAGGGCGATAATCACAAAACTAGCTGAATTATTCAAAACAGTATCAATACTGTAAATAGATAGTTCATGAGGAGATTTTACGATCAGTTTTGCTGATATTATTATTACTGTTGTTATTATTATTGTTCCCCTACATAAGGCTTCAACAACACATCTCCATTTTATCCCATTTTATCCACTTCTCCTTAGCTGGCTCCACGAGTGCACATAATCTCTTATCTCCTCCACGTCACTTTCAGCCGCCCAACTTGTCGTTTCACTTGAGGTCTAGTGCGGCCCGTGATGTCGCTCATCAGTCTCATCAGCGTGTGTCCAATCCATATCCATTTTCTCCTACATATTTCATACATTTATTCCCCTTAATGAATTTAAACAAAGCAAGAACTACAGTTTTAGCAGAATAAAATGGTACCATCTTTTATTTCGTTGCTTTGATGGAAATGGTTTCAGCAAACTTAAGAAGAGTTGAGCTCTTTTGTCGATTGATAATTTTGATGGTACCATTTTATTCTGCTAAAACTGTAGTTTTTGCTTTGTCCCTACATATTTGTTGAGAAATAGATTCTCGATTGATTCGTTGCCGTGGCTTCTTGTTTCTAATTCTTTTTGGCTGGTCATCTGATCTTCAGTATCGAAACGACAAAGGAAGCTGTTGATGAAAGTCTTCAGTAGGCTATTCGAAATAATTTTGGCGACGCTTGCGCCAAATTTCTGACTCATATTTAAGAACTGATTGACTTAACATTGGTGCTGACAATCCGAATTTTGTTGTTTTTGCTGAGTACAGAAGATTTCCATGCTGAGAGTCTGTCATGACTTTCCGATTCTGGCTAGTTTTTGTATCCCCATCTGTGCCTGTAGATGAAATGGTGCTTCCTAGATAATTAAAGGAAGTAACCTCTTTCAAATGTAACCCTCTGATGGTGATTGGTGTTTACTGTTGTTGGTTGCCGGACAACTTTATCACCTCTACCTTCTCTGAGTTCACTTTAATTCCTGTCTTCTCAGCTTCTTCTGCCAACTTACCAGTTTTCGTCTATAAATCTCCGAGTTTTTGTGTTATTAAACATAAATCATCTTAGAAATCCAGATCTTCTAGAGTTTTCTTATTGAATCTTTTTTAACCCTTCCTGTTTTTATCTTACAATTTTTCACATATTCTGGACAAATGGTGCTATTGATTCGATGAACAAAGATTCGATGATTAACCTCTCTATGTCTCTCTAGGACTTACTTTTTAATACTTTTACCGATTCCACCCTATTTTGTTGTTTGCATTCTAGTAAATGCATTACAATGGTTTGAGTATTTTTATCAGATTAGGTAACTTAACAGGGTTGGTTACTCTACACCTAGTTAAGTTCCTATATTTTGATCATCTAAATGATCCCGATCTACTATTATTGTTATTATTATTCCCTTGAGTTTCGAGTGGAACATAGAACTTCAACAACACGTCTCCACTTTGTCTCATTTTATGCAGTCCTCCTTAGTTGGTTCCACGACTGCCCATAATCTCTCATCTCCTCCAACTAGCACGACCTCCTCCATGTCACCGCCGCACCGGCGATCCACCTGTCGCTTTCCATTGGGATTCCACTCGAGGACATAGCGCGCGATGTTATTCGATGGCCTCTTCAACCCATGCTCGACCTTCTAGTCTGATCTATATGCTATTTTGAGCAACTAATTCCATTAACGTTTTATGGCAACAAACTTTATCTCTCAATGAGTTACTTCATTCATATGCCACCCTGGTCATAGTTTTATCAGGTATTCTACGCAGGTCATCTGGTGTTTCTTCCTTATATGGTAGTACTATGGAGTCTTTGAATTCTTCATTATTCGCACTGTGTTTGCCATTTACATTGCAACTCTTATTTTTCCTCACTGATCTTAACAAAATTCGAGTGCAGTCTGATGGGTAGTCATTCACTAGTAATGCCCTGCTTATTTATTTGACTTCATTATTTAAATTTTCTGATTCACTGACTAGACCTCCTGGCTTGATTACACAAACATCTGGTTTTACTAATGTTCGACGGTGGTATGATTCAAAGCCTATGTATCTATCAGAATTTGACAGTTTCTTATTAATGTCAGCATCACAGCTGCCATCTTCTTTTCGTCCAATTTGGCTTATTCGCATTTACCTCAAAAGTGAACACAATTTTAACTGATTAAAAATGCCCATTAAAATCATTTTTTTCAAAAGAATGGATACTGAACAAAGAGTACTCTTTTCGATGACTTCATCATCACGCTCTACAGTTATATATACATTATAGTGAATGAATGAATGAATTAGTGTCATGAACAACATTAAATAGCATCGAATCAATAATATTGATAGATTACAGCTCAATAACATCAACATAAAATAAACTCAATATCAGAAAAATTAGGAAAGATAATATTACAAATTCATGAATTTATAGTCTCTACTGAAGGTCAGGGCAGTAGTAGGGGCTGGACTTGCTTTTTCTGAACACAGAGCACTGATTGTTTGAGGCGAATTGCAATAGCCTCTGTTGTTTGGAGAATGCGGTGCTTTGATGATTTTGGCAATTTATTAGGCACCCTGTAGATCATAGAGAAGGGTTCTTCAATGCTGGCTTTGTGGCCAGCTTTGCACCAGATGGTCCAATATCGAACTGTTGGTGATGGTTTTAACTACACCTTTATTTAGCCATAGTGGGATATCTTCTAGGGCACGAAAAATCAAGTTCCTAGAGCAACGGCCAATATAACTCACTCCACAAGCGCAGTTGAGTCGGTAGATACAATTTGAAGTGGCTAGTCTACATGCTTCATCTTTCACTCGAGGTAGCACCATCGGTCGTGAAGAGAATAATACGTGTAGTTAACCAGCATTAAAAGCATTAAAACAGAATTTTACTTACTACTATGTTTATGTATATGGAGAAATTAGATGTATGTTCGAATATCAGCATAGTGTAACAACAGAAGACGAAGACTTTATAAGGGAATGTTTTCGGCAATTTCGTATCCCTACATCGCAAAATTATGTACACCTTATCTTCAACGTACCATTTACACAGATCTTCCATGTTGTGTTACTTCTGCTCTTCCTTCGTATTGTGTTTCTTTGTGTTCCTTTCATGTCTCTCATGTATCTCCACAACACTGTATCACTTGCCTTCTCTGACATCAAATCTATCTCCAAGCTATTTGATATTTCTGTGATGATGAACGTCTCTTTACATACTACTGATAAATCTAATCAGTAGCACACGACAAAATAGTAAGTGTGTTGCAGAGGATTTATGAAAAATTACATTCAAAAAAGAGGCGAATAGTTATGGATAAGGTGTTACATAATAGGATGAAATTCTTAAAGAATGAGTTATTATCAAAATGAGAATGGAAACAAAAGAAGGGGTGATATTATGTAGAAAGTTGCCTGAAAGAGGTGGAAAATGTTCAGAAAAATGATATCTCATCAGTTGTTTGAACGTCAGTGAATCAAAAAAGGAAGAGAAAGAAAGGAAGAGAGGTTGAATAAAGCTTGCGCTTTTCTGTTTCGATGGCTAAAGCGCTGCAGTGATACCAATTAAGTGAACTTGCACCGATTTTACTACACTTTTATTGTTATTATTATTCCCTTGGGTCTCGAGTGGGCTTTAACAGCATTTCTGCCTCTGCTATCTCTCTAGCTTGATTAACAACTGCCTATAAGTCTTCATTTCCTCTTTATATGGGAACTCATTCATGACACCCTATAGACGCTCAGCTCGTCGTTTTCCGTGTGATGCCATTTAACGTTCTTTTCGTCGCGTGTCCGATCCATCTCCATTTCCTTCTGCATATATGGGCGACATGTTCTTGGTTGGTTTTCTGCCGTAGTTCCAAGTTGGTTATCTTCAATTTGTGACCAAAGAAGGGGGCTGCTGATGACGAAATTTCTCAGTAGCCTGTTTGAAATGCTCTTCGTGATGCGCCACATCTATGAACCATCAGAAGGACTGATTTTAGTGTCAAAAAATTTGAATTTTCCGCCTTATGCTGGCGCTGAATTTACAAGGGTAATTATAGTCATATGGATGGGTTTAAAGTAGGACTTTATTGAGATAGGATGATCAGTTGAGAAAGATATTAGATAATTACACTTCTTACAGAGTCACTTGCACGTCTTCGTAGCCAGATAAGGTAGTGTTCCTGCAACTTTTTTGAATAAAACATCACCCATTTTTCCCGCTGAGCAATTTTTATTTTGTTTTAATCCACTTCTAGGTGTACAACATGAACGTGGACCACGAAAATCAACTAACGCAGCTAAAAGATATTCTTCAATAGAATCTACTAGTAAACGGACTGATGAATACCCATTAAATCTTTCCATTAATCAGAGGAAAAATTCAAAAATTACAAATAACACTAACAACAACAGTCGGAAACCTCGAGGATCTTATGAAAGACACAAAAACGCTGACTATTATCATTATTATTCAAAAAACCTCCTGACTAACTTACCAGTCTATATGGATGACTCTGCTCAGTGTTCAACTTCAGAACAGTTTAAACCATTGAATCCATTGATGAACGCCATGAATTTATCAGGATACCTGTCACAACAGTCTGCCTACAAACATTTAGAAAATATAATTGACTGTTTTTATAGTTCACTAAGAAATGAACAAAATCCAGTGACTACATCGCAGTGTAAGCCGAATATGCCTACGGATGCGGATGACTTACAAGGTAAAGCTGAAGATCTTACTGTTGTTTCAAAGAAAAGGGATGAATTTTGTAGAAGTGATCATGATGTAGAATATGAAAGTCGCAATCAAAATATTATTCTTCCAGTAAATCAATCGAGTACAGATTATCTGACGTTATGCAATTCACATGAAGGTAAGCTAAAAAAACAGATGATGTGAAAGGAACTTCAATGTTGTCATGTAGTACAAGTAATTAGAATCTAAAAGATGAGTGTTCCCTATTGAGGCATTAACGAAAAAGCAAAAACAACTAGTTCAGTGAAGAGTCTGTCTTCGACGAACTCAATTTCTTCAGCTGTACAGACACATTTATATAAATTTTTTCATGAAGTAGGATAGCTACATAAGTGATGAGTTGTTATAATGGATACAAAAAAGGAGATGAGCAAGGATACTAAAGTAACTTAATGACAATCACGTCGGTGGTTCAGCGATAGAATGCTTGTTAACCACGCATGTGTTCAGGGTCCAATCCCTGACCGACGCACCTTTACTGAAACACTCTTAGTCGATATTAAGGCCGGTAGAGTGGAAAGGTTAGGAATGAGGCTGGCAACACCACCCTGTAAAGATAAAACCACTGCTACCGAAACTTCATAGCTCTAGCCTGATGCCGTATGTTCCAATAGGAACGTAAAAGAATAAAATAATTACAAAATAGAAAATAATAAATGACAATCACTTAGTGATTTAGTTATAATGAAGTTTTACATAGAAACAAGGGAACACATGGTATCACGTAAGAGTTCAAAAAGAAATAGAAGAGTTGTGAAGAATTGAAAGAAACCAAGTCAGCAGGAAACGGGGAGGTAGTTACCATGATAGTAGAAGTGATTGATTAATTCTCCTTTGTAGGCAGATCGCCCATTTCTCTGACTGAATGACGAGATATTCAAGTGTTGGTTTGTAAGGATTTGATTGGTTACAGGATTTCATCATGAGGTGACATTAGTTAGAGAACCATTGGAAAACCTGGAAGTACTGGACAGCCAGCTGTTTCGTCCTAGCTTGGGACTCTTCACAGTAAGCACCCACCACCACGGTTCGTACCCAGGAACTTCTGTTTACAAGGCGAGCTCGCATGCCATTAAGCCACTGGAACCCGATCCAATGGCCCATGAATTCTAACTTCTGCCAATTCACGACATAGCGCAACTCCTAGCCAGTGTCTTCGGCGAGTATTTGTCCTCACACCCGACTTGCTGTACCCTATTGGTCACGACTTCTCACTAGAATGGCTAGATCTTCAGTAATGCAATAGGGGTGAAGGCACATTGTTTTAGGCAGGCTATTCTTCATTTTATAGATTACTTTCAAAGAGGAGTTTGGTGAGACACAATGGTCATTGTAGACAAGGTTTTCAATTATTGCACTTTCGAAAAAAAGTTGTATATAAATGCGATTGTACAGTTAAAGAAAGTGAATTCACTGAGCTAATAGTCTTGCCTTTCTTACTGGTAGGAATAACAAATAAATTGTGATAATTAGGTATATAATTACATGCTATTGAGTGATACCACAACCTAGTTATCCAACTTAATCCTTTGTCGGATTGTTTTCGATCAGAAAATCATTAGAGTTGTAGGCGCCTGTTTCGCCGTTGTTTGCAACTAACTAGCAGTCTGCACCAACAACTCCACAAGTGATTGAACTAAAAGCCTTCATTTCATCACTCTGATTTCAGCGAAGAATTATTTTATTTTTTTATGCTTGCTGTGCTATGAAATTTTTGTAATGGTTGAAATGATTTTCTGGCGTAGGGTTACCAGTCCCAAGCCCAACCTTCCCTCTTCTTCCAGGTATGAGGCTGGGTATTAAACTAAGCGACATTAGTATCAACAATAAAAGAGTGGAACTTGCTAGAATTTATAGTGAATGTTCTCATCATTAAGTGATAAATACCCCATCTCACCATACAGACTGGCAGAATTGTGTGATGTCAATGTATTTGAACTTCCGTAGAAGTACTTTATGTGCTAAGCCTTTCTATATGTATGCTTCTTAGCATTTTGAACACTACAAATACTCAGTAATTGAACCTTTCCACATAATACTGCTCTCTTTCTGCAATCTTTAACTGGTGAACGAAATTTTTGATTTCTTATTATTATGAAAGGATTCAAATCAGATCCTTCGTAGGCTTTGGAATATTATTAATGCTAAAAATTAGACGATCATATTTTTGAGTATGAAGCTAAACCACAAAGTTACATTTTGAAACTTGCATCTGCAGCAGAAGAATAAAGTCGCGAATCTTTTGATTGACAACACGGACGAGTTTATTGAACTGTATTCTGTCTCGAGTTTTGAAAGACATTTGTTGTTCAGAATGCTGACAGGGCTGTATACTTTCTCAGAATGTTTATTATTATTATTGTTTCCTTTAATTCCTAGAGGAACATAGGGCTTCAGCCGTGCGTCTCCATTGCGTTCGGTTCTCTGCTAGAGTCTTCACCTGGCTCCAAGTCTGCCCACACGTTTTCATCTCCTCTTCACATGACCTCCTCCAAGTCACCCTTGCACTGACGACCAACTCGCCGCTTCCCTTTCGGGTTCCACTCGAGCAATGGCTTGTCTAGTGATGTCACTTGATGGTTTCTTCAGAGTATGGCCAATCCATCTCCATTTCTTCCTGCCCATTTGTTTCACAATCGGTTCCTGGTTGGTTCGCTCATTGCCAGAGATCCCTGTTGCTGATCTTTTCTGTCCGGCCATCTGATCTTGAGTATTGAGCGAAGACAACTGTTAATGAAGGTCTGTAGTTTGTTTGAGATGCTCTTTATGACGCGCAGTGCAAGTCTCTGATCCGTATAGTAGCACTGACTTCACATTGGAGTTGAAAATCCGGATCTTATTTTTGATGCTGAGAGTTGTTGACCTCCACACAGACTTGAGAGTAATGAAAGCTTGTCTTGCTTTTCCGATTCTTGCTTTGATATCCTCGTCAGTTCCGCCTGTAGTTGAAACGATGCTTCCCAGGTAGGTAAAGGAGGTTGTTTCTTTCAGATTCCTTCCATTTATGCTGATTGTTGTCAGTTGTTGTTGCTGTTGCTGTCGCTCTTGGCCAGGAATCTTCATCACCTCTGTTTCCTCTATGTTCTTCTGAAGGCCTATCTTTGATGCTTCTTCTGCCAACTTGTTGCTTTTCACTTGCATATCTTCCAGTTTGTGGGAAATCAGACATATATCATCGGCGAAGTCAAGATCCTCCAAGTTTTTGTGTGTGTCCATTTTATGCCTGTTTCCTCATTGTCCAGAAAAATCATTGGCGATAGTAGGCAGCCTTGTCTTACTCCTGTCCTCACTTCGAAGGATTCCGTAAGTTTCCCGCTGTGGATTACTTGGCATGCAGCATTGTCGTACAGCTGTTGGATGAGATGTATAATTGTCGGCGGCACCCCGTAGTAGCGAAGTAGTTGCCAAAGCACCTCTTGATCGACGCTGTCGAAGGCCTTTTCAAAGTCGATGAAGTTGAGATAGAGAGGTGACTGCCATTCCAAGCACTGTTCAATGATGATCCTTCTAACTGTCTGAAAAAACTACGGAATTTAAAGTGAGTTTTATTCATCTAAAGTTTAGATGACAAGAGAATAGTCTTAATATGAGTACGTGTGTTATTCAGGTGAACAGAAATGGAGAGAAGACACTTCAGGAGGTAAGACACCATAGAAGGGAACAGGTTCTATATCTGTTCTGCTGGTAAAAGCTAAAAGGCTTGGAGTATAAGTTGACTATAACACAACATCAGTCAATTAAGAATATCGAATTAATCGAAGTTTTCTCAATCCAACTTCTAAGTGATTCGGTGTGTTGTGCTGCTTTTGAGTGTGTAGTTTCTCAGCACCACTACTTTTCAGTTATGATGTTAATGAGAATGGAGGGAATGTGTGATGTTAGCAACATATGTATCTAGCACGAAAGCAATAGTTTTTTGTTAGAAAAACAAAAATAGTGCAAGATAGAATATGGTACTAATAACTGCTATGAGTTATTGAAGACCACTCATACCAACGAAGAGTGAGTAATAGTCAGATGCGAAGTGATTGAAGCACTGAACAACCATTTCTTTCTGTATACTGACTGATATCAACAGGGTTATGTATTTATTGTATTCTGGACATATTTTAGCTTTCTAAAAGACAAGTGAAGTGAATACAGGAGTAAGACAAGACTGCCTATTATTACCTATGATATTTCTAAATGTGGTGGACTGGAATGTGCGGAGAACTGTCAGGAGAGAGAAGACAGCAATACGTTGGACTGACAAGAAAAATCTACGAGATCCGGACCTTGCAAATGATTCATGTCCAATGTCACACAACGTCGATGAATTACAAGCGAAAACCAACTAACTGACTGTAGAGGCTGGCAGCGAAGACAGGACTCCAGGTGAACACAGAAGAAACGGAGGTGATGAAGATAACAAACCAAACCACTGTAAAAAGCACCAATGAATTCCAACAGGAGGAATTTGAAAGATGTCAATGACCTTCACTTATCTAGCTATGTAGTATCGTTTCGACTGCAGACAGCTGGCAAAGATGAGGATACCAAAGCCGGTCAGAATCGGAAAGGAAGACCAGACCATGACTACTCTGATATCACTTTGGAATTCTTCTTCACTCAGCATCAAAAAAAACATTAGGATTTTCAACACAAATTTTAAGTCAGTCAATTCTTCAATACGAGTTAAAAACATGCACTGCGTGTCACCAAAAGCATTTGCAGCAGGCTACCTTGGACTTTTATCAACAGCTGCCTTAGCTAAATATCGAAGATGACATAACCTGAAAGAATTGGCAGCAAGAAACGATCCACCCAAGAATCTAATTATTATTAGTAGTATTGTTCCCTTGGGTTCCTAGTAGAAAATAGGGCTTCAACTGCACATCTCCACTTGCTTCTGTCTTCTGCTGTACTTTTCACCTGCATCCAGGATAATCCATACTGTTTCAACTCTTCTTCACACGATCTCCTCCACGTCACCCTTGCATCGACGAACCACTCGCCGCTTCCCTTTCGGGTTCCACTCGAGCATTGGCCTGACGCGCGATGTCACCCAGCGAGTGGCCTCCTCAGCGAGTGTCCAATCCATCTCCACTTTCTCCTGCATATTTGTTGAGCGATTGGTTC